ATATATAAAAACATTTTTACACCACGTAAAATTGTTTTGACTTGATGTCATAAAGAGCTGATATAATGCAGTTGAAGACTGGCACAATGTAATTTAAGTGCGAGTTAATGCCATAAAGACTAAACATAATGTAATTGAAAGTTGACATAACGCAATAGTAGTGTGTGTAATTGTCATAAAGAGTTGACATAATGTAATGAAAGGTTGACACAATGCAATAGTAGTGTGGACTTATGTCATAAAGAGTTGACATAATATAATGGAAAGTTGACATAATGCAGAAGTATTGTGGGTTAATGTCATAAAGAGTTGACATAATGTAATGTAAGGTTGACACAATGCAACAGTAGTGTGAGTAAATGTCATAAAGTGTTGACATAATGTAATGGAAGGTTGACGCAATGCAGCTGTTGTGTTCTGCTATAAGGCAGTGACGGCGTTCCATACTCTAGCCTGTATCTCCTCCATTTTTATAAGTAACTCGAATTTTTGTGGAAAAATTGATTGTTGTATATGTTTGAATATTGTGTACTAGAATATATTGTCAAAGTATATTACTACATATATAAAATGAGATTTTATTTGCTGGAAAAAAATGGAATAAACATTCTGTGAAAAATTTGATGCATAAAACATTGCAAAATAGAAATGGGCCACCAAACGTGTCATCTGCTACTGCTATCACAGCATTTCTTATTCGATTTTGATGATAGGAATGTTTGATTTATAGGATTCCGCGCCATGTAAATTTATTTTTATGCAATAAATCTTTATTTTGAAGTATTTCTTTAGTCCCCCATAGATTTATGGCCAGTAACCGTTTTGTTCATGCTCTACTTCCTTTCCACAAGATTATTTTTTATCTGTGAATGAAGGGGATTAGGTCCTCTCATCTCTGACTCCATACAGTTCATCACCACTTCTGTCGAGCACGAGGATATATATTGTACAACAGCATCCACAGAGTATTTTTGCAATATTAGGAGGATGTTTAATATTATCTGTCTACAAAAAGTACAGTTCTAAGCCACTTCTCCTGAATCATTAATCATTTCATGTAAAACTCCTCTGTATTTTACAGTTTATAATGGTTCCTCGACAGAAATGTACTATAAGGTCGTGCAATTGCAAACCTTAGGTGATTCCAAAATAAGTTGCATGTGTAGATGAAAATGTCATCAACATTCAAAATTTGCATCGTATAGCCTAATTGGAAGACTACAGTAACGGTAATTTCCTCAGTGCATTTTTAGTTCAATTGAGTTTTTCACGATGTTCTTTTTCAAACTGCTAGCTCATTTCTGCTTTTTATCAATCCTGATAATTTGATATTAGAAATATTATTTTTTACCGAGTGATCCCCATAGATCGTTAACTCCTCTTTAAAGAGCGCCATTGTTATATATGACTATATGTGAATTAAGTGTGGACTGGTGTATCTTTAAATCTGATGACACCCGAAGCTTTCACAATAATTGACTTTAACAATCCTGCTACATAAAACAAAGACAAACGGCCCATTGACCGGCTACTGATCCTACGGTGTTCAGACCTAAATAAACAATTTGTTCTCAGGAACAATCTACAATCAATTATCAAGTCATGCCGAATCCCTCAATCCACTATTTTATATTTGATAATGTAAATAATTTAGCAAGGACTCTCTTGGTTACTTATTTAATATCAGTACATATGACTTCTTTCAGAAAAAATTGTATGTTTACAAATACTTGGAATATTATAGATCAAAATGATGGAACGTAACAATTTTTTAGAATTATCATGCTATATATAGTGCGAGAAATTCCTGAGAATATCATTTGTGAATTTTTTTCTTTCAAAATATTTTAAAAATAATATATACTGGATATATAGCTTTAAATCAGATTTTTATCAGATGACAAAAGTTGAAACTTCCTTATTTTATATGCAGTTTTAGCTCACCTTTGCTGAAAGCTCAAATGAGTTTTACTGATCACCCTGTCCGCCTGTCCGTCAGTCTGCAAACTTTTCACATTTTCAACTTCGTGTCAAGAACTATACTGGCCAATTTTATCAAAATTTAGTACAAAGCATCATTTAATGGGATTAAAATTGTTCAAATGGATGACCAAGCTTTTAAGGGAGATTTTTAAGAAAACATGCAAATGCAAAGAATTGTGGTCCACCGCTTTCGGTGTCTTTTGTGTGTGAGATGCTGCAGTTTGGAATCAAATTTTTACATTGAAATAGATTTGAAAAATCTTGTGGAATCATGAAAAACTCTTCTCAAGAATCACTGAGCTTCAAATAATGAAACACGTGAACATGGATTTGAGTTTAATGGAATCATGTTCCCGAGGGTTTAGGATGGGGCCAAAAAAGGGAATCAAAGTATGACAATCTAGTGAAGAACAGCAGGGACAAAGTGATTCAGGTGAGCGTTGTGGCCCTGAAGCCGTTTGTCATGAATATCTTCAGGAATAAAGTTCTCTTGTATATATACTTCTGGTCAATTGCTAAACAATACTAAGCTTTTGAAAAAAGGATATTATTGATATTTTATTATCAAAGAATCAATCGAAAAATGGAAAGGGATTCGGCAGAAGGAAAGAGTTAGGAATAAAACCCATTTTTATACCCTGTTTTCACTCTTGTTTTTACTAAACAGATATCTAAGACTTTTTTGATATATATGTACATACACTGTATATCTAAACATTAAATCTGACAATCAATTTTAAGGGAAAACCGTTAATATCTGACAGACAGGATATTAATTTCGGTCTGTCTGTCCGTCCGTCCGTCTGTATTTCTGTCTGTCTGTAACACTTTCGTTTCCACGCGATGTCACGAGAAGCAGTTGAGTTTGCAATGGCATTTTAAACCACAAACCCTTAGCTAAGAAAGACCTCTATTTATTTCAAGGTAAATAGGTCAAAGTCGTAAATTTCATAACTCCCTATACACCAACTCTTAAAGTGCCCCCCCCCAAGATTCGCACATGCTCTTCTTTTTTCTTAAGCAAGGGACACAGATTCTCGGTTCTCTGAATTAGCTTGTTTGATCTATTTTTGGTTGTATATTATGTGACCAATAAAATTCTAAAATTTTAAACTTTTTATAATGTTCAAAATTTAACCTTATTGCAACCATCCTTAATAATCTAGAAAAAAAAAATTAGCTCACCTGAGCCGAAAGCTCAAGTGAACTTTTCTTATCAAAATTTGTCCGTTGTCTGTCGTCGTCGTTGTGCTTGACATCGTCGTTAACTTTTCACATTTTCGTCTTCTTCTCAAGAACTATTTGGCCAATTTCAACTAAACGTACCACGAAGGAGCCTTGGGTGAAGGGGATTTAAGTTTGTTCAAATGAAGGGCGACGCCCTCTTCCAAGATAATAATGAATCAGTAAAAAATAATAATGGATTTTTTTTTTAACTCTTCTTCTCCAGACCCACTGGGCCATGGAAGATGAAACTCATGTGGAATCACCTTCAGGTAGACAAAAGTGTAGAATTATGTTTGATCAAATCGTGACCCCTGGGATTAGAGTGGAGCCACAATGGACGATCAAAGTTCTACATTGGTATATATAGGGAAAATCTTTAAAATTTTGAATGAGAAGAGAAAGGACTCTCATATTTCACGAGAGTCCTTTCTCTTCCCAGTTTGTCTATTTAGAACTGGGAATACAAAATTACCAATCAGACTGGTAGATGGTTTTAACATCCCTAGAGAAAACAGAATTTGTAAATTATGTAACAGCAATGACATTGGCGATGAATTTCAATACTTATTTAAATGCACTGATGTGTCTATAAAGAACTCAAGAGTCATGTATTTGTCAAAATATTTTTATTTGAATCCAAATATTTTGAAATTTGAAATGCTTTTTAATGTAACCAATACTAATCAACTCTGCAAGATTTGTAAATTGTTAGATATTATAATTGAGAGAGTTAGTCTTGGTTGATATTACTCTGTTATCCCTTTTTCATGCATGTAATATTTCATGTTCATTATACCGTACACATCGTCTCTTCATTGTTTCTTCAGTTATGAGAATAAAGTTTTTTAAAAAAAAGTATGTATATTTTCTGTGACTTTTTAAATACTCATTGATTTTTTACCCCATGACCTTGAACTTTGATGTTTAACCTTCTTTCGAAAATGTTATTTTTTCCTTATGACTTTCGATTTAGAAGAGATAGGGATTTCATACATACCTTGACTTTCATGTTTGACCTATTAAAAACAGAAACAAAACACTTTGGTGATAACTCTTGAATGACATATGATTGGGAGACCGTTCATATCTGACACAACATGCCATAAATAATGACATCTCACTCACAAGGACACCGAAAGCGGGGGACCGCAATTCTTTGAATTTGCTTGTTTCCTTCTTGCAATTTTTAAAGGCAGGGCAGATTTTCATTTCATCCTTTAATAGTGAAATATTTAAAATACGATATATATACAAGAAAATTACAAAATGTAGAAATATGAAATATATTGTCCTAAGGTGTATACATACTTAAATAAGACGCAAGATGACGTCTCTAAATCGTTCTGATAATCAACAAACGGAGCCAAGCGATTATTACAGAGTGCGTCTAATCACTGTATTATATAGAGAGCGCGAAGGAGGTTTCAGTTCAATCTTTAGCCTCCACTAATAAGCTGAAGTTTAGCGCTTGATGAAAAATGATAGAAATAATTAATGATTGAATGAAACTGAGAATAATAGCGAGATCAATCCAGTGCTATAAGAAGCGATGCGAGTCCAACCTACAGTTGTTATCATACAGAGATCAGGCGTGTCCGACTTACGACTAAACGTCAGCCTTTTCGGCAAGTTTTACTTTTAAAAATGTCTTATTAAAATTATGTATCAGAAAGGATATACTACTTTTCAGTGATCATTAGACTATGAAAATGTTTTACTATGGCAACGACGATTTCAAGGAGATTACGTGTTTTTTTTCTTCCTATGATTTTATCATCATATTGATTTCAGGTTATAATGATTTCAAGATAGATCAAAGTTAATGTACGAAAAAAAGACCGGTAACAGAGACAACATGGCAAACCTCAGTGTAAGACACCTGGGTGACGAGAATAAGACATCCTATAATGACAGTGACTTCAATGAGCTGGATTATCTACAGCAGAACCTCGGGGTCCGACATCTGGACACGCCCACTCTGGCCATACTGACCATTGTCTATGTTGGTATATTTCTATCAGGGACTGTTGGCAATGTATGCACGTGCATCGTGATTGCCAGGAACCGTCACATGCACACCGCTACCAATTACTATCTGTTTAACCTATCTGTCTCGGACTTAGCCACGTTGATTCTAGGTACGTGAACTAAATCACTCCCTGGTTTGATTTTGTTATTTTTGATAAATTGTTAAAGAAGTTAATTGTTGTCTTTAATATATACAAATTACTGGAATCAAATCAGGTCTGGTGTTGACCAAAAGATGTATGCTGACGCTGGATACATCTAGATCTTTGACAAACATTTTAATTCAATGCATTTTCTTTCCAACTCAAAGAAGAACTAAAATGAATCTTTATTCGGCACATGGGTGAATTATTGTAAGATGATGTCGAGTTCTCGATCAATTTCCGGAGGTTGATGTGATTATAATTTGCAGTTACATTCGTGTCAGATTTGAAGCACGCTCCGTAACAGATATGACATGCAGTTGCAATATATCAGGCCTCCTTGGCGCATTCTTATTAGTTATTCAATTAAGGGATTTTTACTGAAGATTTAATTTAACACTGAACTGATGATTATAAATTTGAAGTTCATTATAAAATAATGTGTACTGTATGGCATTTCATATGGCATGGTATTCATGGATTTAGTTGTTTGAATGCAGGCTTAGAAAAATAATGGAACGAAAATGAAATATAGCTATTTTAATATACATGTATATCACCTCGGAACATTTGCGCTGTTTAATCACGGTAAACTATCACGCAAGCACGACCAAAGGTAGCTTAAACGTAGGAAGAAACACCAAATGTATGTTCACAAAAGAAAGATTTCCGTTTCTTAATAGATCTGTTTATCGGTAAATGAGGACAAGTAATGAACACTTCAAGTATTCTAATAGCTCTAGTCATTATTTTGCCGGTTCATGTTTCAGAAACTCAAAGTAACGTATATATATAAACACGTGATACTGCTTATCTTTAGTGTCATTTCACTATTACTACAACATCAGAGAACATTTGTAAGCTCTAAAAGAATCTTATGGCTCCAGTATCTGCCATAGCTGCCTTGTGTTCTGCAGCCAATTAAAAGGCACTACCGAGTTCACTCTGTCCTACGAGGGTCGCTCTGTCCATAGATATTTACCTATAATAGGAGTATAGAGTGCTCTTCCCTATAAAAGGAATATCGATTATTACCGGAGTATAGGTCTTTATCACTAGAATCGCTCTCTCCCATGAGTATAGTTTTGTCTCACGAGTATGTACTATTGCCATAGTATCTACCTACATTACAAGTATTGATTTGTCTTGTCAGTGTTACTCGATCTGTCCCACGACTATTGCTCTGTCCTACGAGTACAGACTGATCTAGTATCGCTTTATACCACGAGTATTGCTCTGTCCCACCAGTAGTGACCAGTCCAACCAGTAGTGACCTGTCCTACCAGTAGTGACCTGTCCTACCAGTAGAGACCTGTCCTACCAGTAGAGACCTGTCCAACCAGTAGTGACCTGTCCCACCAGTAGTGACCTGTCCCACCAGTAGTGACCTGTCCAACCAGTAGTGACCTGTCCCACCAGTAGTGACCTGTCCCACCAGTAGTGACCTGTCCCACCAGTAGTGACCTGTCCCACCAGTAGTGACCTGTCCCACCAGTAGTGACCTGTCCCACCAGTAGAGACCTGTCCCACCAGTAGTGACCTGTCCCACCAGTAGTGACCTGTCCCACCAGTAGTGACCTGTCCCACCAGTAGTGACCTGTCCCACCAGTAGTGACCTGTCCCACCAGTAGTGACCTGTCCCACCAGTAGTGACCTGTCCCACCAGTAGAGACCTGTCCCACCAGTAGTGACCTGTCCCACCAGTAGTGACCTGTCCCACCAGTAGTGACCTGTCCCACCAGTAGTGACCTGTCCCACCAGTAGTGACCTGTCCCACCAGTAGAGACCTGTCCCACCAGTAGTGACCTGTCCCACCAGTAGTGACCTGTCCCACCAGTAGTGACCTGTCCCACCAGTAGTGACCTGTCCCACCAGTAGTGACCTGTCCCACCAGTAGTGACCTGTCCCACCAGTAGAGACCTGTCCCACCAGTAGTGACCTGTCCCACCAGTAGTGACCTGTCCCACCAGTAGAGACCTGTCCCACCAGTAGTGACCTGTCCCACCAGTAGAGACCTGTCCCACCAGTAGTGACCTGTCCCACCAGTAGTGACCTGTCCCACCAGTAGAGACCTGTCCCACCAGTAGTGACCTGTCCCACCAGTAGTGACCTGTCCCACCAGTAGTGACCTGTCCCACCAGTAGTGACCTGTCCAACCAGTAGTGACCTGTCCCACAAGAATTGATTTGTCCCACGAGAAACTCTCTATTCATTTAAAAGAATTTTTTTTTGTCCCACGAGTATTTAATCGCTCTATACCACGAGTATTGCTCTGTCCCACGAGTAGAGACCTGTCCCACCAGTAGTGACCTGTCCCACAAAAATCGATTTGTCCCACGAGAATTTCTCTGTATTTATTTTAAAGAGTTTTCTTTGTCCCACGAGTATTTAACCCTTTCGACGCCGAAAAACGTTACGTCTATAACGTCATGAATGCCATACTATGACGTCAATCCGGACGTCAAACAATTGCTTCACAAAAAAGCATCAAATTGGTTATAAAACGAGCACCTGTATAACCAAGATAATAGGATGTTCCATGTTGTCTTGGAAAATGCATGCTATATATTTATGTTATATTAATTTATACATTTTTTATACCAATAATTTTTTTTAATTGGCGTAAAATAAAATTTAAAAAATATTTATGTCTGTAGCTAGCATACTCAAGATAAGTCTTTAAAAACTTTTTCATATTTTCAAATAATATATTGAAATTCTGATAATTGTTATAAGTGTATACTACAGTGTACACTGTCACATATTTATAATTTGAAATAAGAATATCAATCAATATACAATTACAATATATGTAGTCACTAGTGTTTAAGTTGTTAAAACTTTTTTTTTAAATAACAAACTGATAACATATCCTCTCTGTAAACTCAATAAGTGTGTAACATTTGATTGACAGATATTGTTAAATAATTTACTTAATATACATGTATATTTGATTTTGCCACCGTCAACAAAGTTAATCAATGTGTTTAGCTAAATTGCTATAATACTCGTACTCTCTAATTTTTACGAACATAAAAAGATGTAGCTCCTAGTCCCATTCGTTTTAGTTAAGACAGCATTATGACAGACGCAAGCCCTGCTATAAATAGGTTCGAATTTATCTGTAATAAGAATATAAATATAGGTAATAAATAAATCCCGCTCTCTCTCTCTGTCAAACACACACACCATAATTAGATTAAATGCAAGGTAGTTTCATAGTGAGTAGAGTAATCGTTTGTGTGTTCCAACTACGCCTCAAAATTGATCCTCGTGTGAAATTTCCTAAAGCATCCCTCTACACAGAGTCCGACCCTGCAGTCCTCACACCACCACTGAATTCTTGTCTTCCTGAATTCGCCTCCATGTCCCGCACAAACGGCACATCTCTTACGCTTACCATCTGGTATTTTGGACGGAAAGTGCCTCTCGGACAATCTTGCCAAGGTTCTGTGTTGGACTGGTATTAAACGCAGCTGTCTGTTCCTACTACCCTGTCGAAACCCTCCAATAAGTTCTTGGCAAAGCTGCTGGTGAAACTTCAGATGATCCATTTTGTGTTGTACAATGAAGGAATCTCGGTAGCAAATATAGGCATTTACTACAAAGATATTATCAGATAAAATCATTCCGACTTCACAAAAATATTTTATAACAATTTACATTCCGAACAGCTTTAATCAAATATGTTTTATATACATGGAAGTGTATGTTAAAGCATATACCTGCTGCGGTTACAAGAGAGTGAAATAGGAGTTTTCTCCACATCTTTAAACTCTTGAACTGTGGCTCAAATTGGAGAATTAGTTGATCTTATACAAAGATTGTAGGTATCTATTATGGCAGGAATAGAAACTTCGCGACCCTTTCCATTTGTTGTTTGTATTTGCCTATAAATATGTAGCGCTTTTAAACTTGACTCATCCTATAGTTTTGATATTTTTAAAATATTTTAATAAACTAAAAATAAAAGTGTACAACCGGTATATATGTAGAAAAGCAAGTGAATTACATGTACATGCATATGTTTCAATTTATGATGAGGAGCGATTACATGATGATAAATATAACTTGGTGTAAAATACTATCGAAAGGCTGGCAACTAGTCATAGTTTTCGTTTAATTTCACTAACATTTGAATACAGATACCAAATTCTAAGAGGTAAAGGTAATATAAAAAGCTATTACAAACCCTATGAAAAAAAAATGTTTTCATCACTATTTAATTTCATTACAAACCAACAGAGCTACAGTCTCAAGAGATTCATTAAATTCAATACCTTGCAGAACCAGTAGTGGTCAACAAAGATACAACTCTCCTGTCCGCCCACTGTACAGCCATCACTCCAGCACGTGTCTTAACATTCACATCTCCTCTCTGCATTGCTGGGTTCTTAAAACTGGAAGGCATATCCTTTCGAGACTTGATAACTGTTCCTGTACTATGGGTGTCCTTGTCCAAGAGATCGTATACCAGTCTGGGGCTGGTGAAAAAACTGTCGAAAGTGACATGATGCTCTTTGTAGAAATGGGGTTCCATCAAGTCCATTACTTGATAACCCTACAACATATACGAGTTCGCGTGATTTTCACTTAGTGTTATACTATGGTATTAATTGATCTTATACTCTTTAGCTTCTAAATATGAAATCTGCTAAAAAAAATCTTTTAGTTATTTTTTAAAATCACAAAGTCTTCTAAGCATTGAATTAATTGACAAATAAAAATTTGCCGCTGTTTGTTAAATTCCTCGAAATAAAATCATAGTTTAGCAAGATATACAAATAATAGAAAAGACGCGGAACAGAATTTTTCGACTTGTTTTTGTTTTTTTTTATGGAAAAGACATTTCAAATCTACATAAGCCCGTGTAAATCAAATAGCGGAAAATCAGTTTCAAGTTCTCGCGGAAAAAGCATACCAGAGTACTCACGTAAATGCATGATGCTTGAGATTTGAAAACAAAA